GGGGGGGGGGCTCAGGGAAGGGGTTTGAGGGGAGCTGAGTGGGAATCAGGGAAGTTGGGGGTATGGGGGCCTGGGCAGTGGGGATCCCTGGGGGCTGGGATTCGGATTTCAGGGTTGTTGGAGGGCTGGATTTGGGGGTCCCTGGAGCCTGGGATTAGGGGACTGAGATCTGGGGGTTGTCAGAGCTTGGAATTGGGGGGCTAAAATCTGGGAGTCCCTGGAGCCTGATTGGGGGTGTTGGAAGTTGGGACCTGGGATTCACCAAAAGCTGGGATCTGGAGGTTCCTGGTGTTTGAGAATGTGGGTCCCTCTGCAGGGCTAGAATCTGGGGGTCCCTGAATTCTGGAATTGGGGAAGAGGGATTGGAATCTGGACATCACCATGGCTTGGATTTGGGAGGGATGGGATATGGGGTTCCCCGTGGCCTGGATTTTGGGGTGCCCAGGGGCCTGGGAGTTCCTGATCTCTGGGAATGGGGTTCCCCAGGAGCTGGGATCTGGAGGTCCCTGGAGCCTGGGACTGGGGGTGCTGGGATCTGGGAATCCCTGGAGCCTGGGACTGGGTGATTTTAGGGGGGCTGAGATCTGGGAGTCCCTGGAGCCCAGGATTGGGGATCTCTGGGGGCTGGGATTGGGGATCTCTGGGGGCTGGGATTGGGGATACTGGGAGCTGGGATCTGAAGGTCCCTGTAGCCTGGGATTAGGGATCTCCAGAGGCTGGGATTAGGGATCTCAGGGGATAGGATATCTGGGGACCACTGGAGCCTGGGATTGGGAGTGCTGGGAGCTGGGATGTGGGGGTCCTCATGGCCCTGCTCTTACCTTCTGGTGCTGCACAGGCCCATTTGAGGGCCCCAACTACCACATTGCGCCACGCTGGGTATACAACCTCACCTCGTTGTGGATGCTGCTGGTGGTCGTGGCCTCAGTGGCTACCAATGGGCTTGTGCTGGTGGCCACGGCCAAGTTCCGCAAACTACGGCACCCACTCAACTGGATCCTGGTGAACTTGGCTGTGGCTGACCTGGGCGAAACAGTGATTGCCAGCACCATCAGCGTCATCAACCAGCTGGCTGGCTACTTCGTGCTGGGCCACCCGCTCTGTGTTATCGAGGGCTATACCGTCTCCGTCTGCGGTGAGCCCCAGCTGAGGGCAGGGTCTCGGCCAAGGTCACAGTCATGGGGAAGGGGGTGTCAGAATCACTGCCACAAAAAAAGGGGCAGTGAGGTCACAGACATGGCCACGGGGTGGGCAGTGGGGTCACAGCCACAGTTACAGCCAGGGGAAGGCACTGGAGTCACAGTAACAGCCACAGGGGTGATGGGGGGCACTTGGGTCACAGCCACAGCCATGAGTAAAGGCAGGCGGCAGGGTCACGGCCATGGGGAGAGGAGGGGAGTGACACCTAGAGGACCCCTGCCCTTCCTGCATCTCCAGGACCTACAGGAAGCCACATGACCCTCCCATGTTATTCTGTACACCACGGGAGAGCAGGGACCCCCATGCCCCAACCATGAACCCCTGCCCCCTCACACCCCCCAGAACACAAGCCACAGGTCCCATGACCATGACTCTAGGTCTCAGGAGACCACGTCACACCCCATGCTCTACCCATGGGCCACCATGGAACCCCTGCCCCTCTCATAACCCCCCAGAACCCATGCCACGGGACCCCTGTACCCCCTCCCCGATCCCCTCAGCTCACCGGTAGGGGCCATGCAGGCATCACAGGGCTGTGGTCGCTGGCTGTGATCTCCTGGGAGCGCTGGTTTGTGGTCTGCAAGCCCTTTGGCAACGTCAAGTTCGACGGGCGCCTGGCACTGGGTGGCATTGTCTTCTCCTGGCTCTGGGCAGCCTTCTGGACTGCACCCCCTCTCTTCGGCTGGAGCAGGTCGGTGGGGCTGGCGGTGAAGGGGACAAGGCCTCGGGGCAGAGGTTCCACCCACACCTGGCTGAAGCCCCATACCCTCTTTCTCTCCCCTGGGGCAGATATTGGCCACACGGGCTAAAGACATCATGTGGGCCAGACGTCTTCAGTGGCAACACAGACCCCAATGTCCAGTCCTACATGATGGTGCTTATGGCCACCTGCTGTATCCTGCCCCTCATCATCATCATCTTCTGCTACCTGCAAGTCTGGCTGGCCATCCGTGCGGTGAGCCCTGCCCCACATGGCCCCCCTGGTGGTCAATACCTTTGGGAGGACCTGTTGGATCCACCAATGCAGACCAGTGAAGCCAAGGAAGTATCCACCATGCTCTATGGCCAACCAGTTGACCAAGAGCCTTCCAAGGCCCCCCTAGAGCAACCACCGCAGACTAGTAAAGCCCAATTAGCCAACCAGTTGTCCATAACCCTTTCAAGACCCTTCTAAACAAATTCCTCCAGTCCAGTAGAGCCAATCGGTTGGCCAAGACTCTTCCAAGACCCCTGAAGACCACCCCTCAGACCAGAAAGCCCAATAAGGCACTATCACACCCCATGTCCAACCAGTTGGCCAAGAGCCTTCCAAGACCCCTATAGACCAACCCCTTCAGACCACTAAAGCCAAGTAAGACAACCCATCCAAACTAACCCTTCAAGCCCAATAAACTCCAGTACAGCCAAATGGCTGACCAAGAATTTTCCAAGGCTACTACAAACCAATCTCTCCAGCCCAGTAAAGCCCACCACAGCTAACTAGCTGGCCAAGAGCTTTCCAAAATGCCTGAAGACCAACCCCTCAAGCCCAGTAAAGCCAACCCATTGGCTAAAACTCCTCCAAGACTCCTGTAGATGCATTCCTCTAACTCAATCTGGCCCAGCCCCTGCCCCCGCCCCCCCCTGCCCCCAGTTGGTCCAGGCAAAGACCCCACCACCAGGCCCCACCCTGACCCCAGTGGATTCCTGGCAGGTGGCAGTGCAGCAGAAGGAGTCAGAGACAACACAGAAAGCAGAGCGCGAGGTGTCACGCATGGTTCTGGTGATGATCGTGGCCTTCTGTGTCTGCTGGGGGCCCTATGCGTCCTTCGCCTGCTTCGCAGCTGCCCATCCTGGCTATGCCTTCCACCCCCTTGTGGCCTCGCTGCCTGCCTACTTCGCTAAGAGCGCCACCATCTATAACCCCATCATCTATGTCTTCATGAACCGCCAGGTCAGCTCCATGGGGAGACTGGAGCTGTGAGGGTGATGTGTGGCAGCTGGGCAGAGGATAGAGGGATAGAAGGAAGGATGGAGGGATAGAGGGAAGGATGGAAAGGTGGTGATGGAAGGAGGGAGGGAGCCAAACAGATATGGAGGGAAGAATGGAGTGGGGTGATGGAGGAATGGATGGAGACACATGGATGGATGGATGGATGGATGGATGGATGGATGGGGAGTGATAGAAATGGGGGGAATAGGAGGGATGGATAGAGGGATGGCTGGACACAAGCACAGGCAGAGGCTGGTGCCTGTACATCTGTCCTATCCTCGTCAATCTGTTCTCCCCCAGTTCCGAAACTGCATCCTGCAGCTGTTCGGGCGCAAGGTGGATGATGGATCCGAGACCTCCACGGCTGCGTCTCGCACTGATGTCTCCTCCGTCTCCAGCGCCTCTGTTGCCCCTGCCTGAGATGCTCTCCCCCTGGATGGATGAATGGACAGGCCTCACCTCCCTCAGCCCCCACAAGGACAGGTGGACAAGACCCCATGGACAAACAGTGCTCCTCTCCCCCCCTCCCCCCCTGGACAGACAGATGGACAAGACCTTCCCTCAGCCCTCTGGGGACAGACGGACAAGATCCCCCAAGGACAGATAGAACCCTCCCTCAGTTCCCCCCAAGGATGGACAGATGGAGGAGACCCCCATGGACAGATTGGCGAACCTCTCTCCCACCACTGTAGATGGAAAGTAAACCCCCCGCTCCCACCATACACAGACAGACAGACAAGTGCTCCCCCACCTCCCAAGAACAGATGGATGCCCCCCCACTGATCTCTCCCCTACTGACAGACAGACAGGACTCCCCTCCCCCATGACAGAACAACACACAGATGACCCTGCAACCCCCTCTCTCCCTCCCCCTCCTCTGCTACAGGCAGGGGCAGTGTCTGGACCACAAGCCATGCCCTCCTTGGAGGCCCCAACCCCCAGGAGCACTAGGCTTTGTCTCCCATCCCCTCAGCCAGGACACCTGGGTTCCTTCCCCAACTCTAGGAGGGGAGGGGGGCTAGGAGGTGAAAGCAGCGGGGGCTGGGAACCTGGATGCCTGGATTCTCTGGAGGGAGGTGGGGAGTGTGTAGTCTAGAAGGGAGAGCTTGGGTGTCTGGGTGCCCCGGGAGGGGAGTGGGAGTCTGGGAGCCTGGATACCTGGGTCCCCTCCTGGCACTCTACATTCCAGAGGTGATCACATTGTGGGCAGACCCCCCACCTCCCACAGAAGTCCTGCCCCATTGTCCCTCCCCTGCACGCTGTATATAGCATTCGATAATGACTTTGTGATCCCCGCTCTGTAGCCAATAAAGCTCTGATGCTTCTATCCTGGCTCCCTCCCTTGTAGTTGGAGTTGAGATTTTGAGATTGGGGGGGGGGGGGGGGGGGGGGAGTTGGGATGGTAACAGCAGAATGCCCTGGGCTGTGGCACCCCTTAGCGCTATTCCATAACAAGAGTAGGAGCAGGGAGCCTGGATGCTTGGGTTCTCTGGGAAGGCCAGGGGAGCCTGAGGGGTGAGAGCAGGGGGGGCTGGGAGTCCAGATGCCTGGGTTCTCAGAGAGAGGGGTAGGGTCTAGGAAGCTAAGAGCAGGGATCAGCTGGAAGCCCAGATGCCTGAGTTCTCTCCTTATTATGGGAAGGGAATAGGGGCTGGGGGGGGGGCAGCCAGGGTTAGAGGGTTACAGCAGGGGTCAATTGGAAGCCCAGACACCTGAGTTGTCTAGGAGGGGAGTGGGGGCTGGCAGCCCAGGGAGTTGGGTCTTGGGGAGCCTAGGTCAGGGGTCAGCTGGAAGCTCAGACGCCTGGGTTCTCTGGGTAGGGAACGGGGTTTGAAGCAGACAGTGCCAGAAGCCCAGATGCCTGGGTTCCCTCCAGGCCCTAGGAGGGGTGTGGGCACATTCCCCCTCCTCCCATGTCTGGGGGGGGCTGTTCTCGCCATGCTAGGCACTGCACGCACCCATGGGGGGTGGTGGCTGGGCCTGGCAGGAGAACAAAGCCAGGGAATGGGGCCAAGGCCTAAATTTAGGCTGGAAATTAGAAGGCTCCTGGTCCAAGGCGCCACGCGGCAGCCTGGCCAGGCCCTGGATGCCTGGGTCCTACATGGGCCCAGTCGCAGGAGGCCTGGGTCCCTCCTGGCTGGAAAGGAGGGGCGGGGTGCAACCCCTGCCACTGCCACTGCCCCCACCCCACCAGCAGGGTCTAATGAAAACTGGGGAGAGAACCCAGGTGCCCGAACTCCCATCCCCCCCTGCTCTCACCCTCAAGTCCCCACTCCCCTCCCAGAGGACCCAGGAGTGTGGGCTCCCAGCCCCCTGCCCACTCTTACCCCCTGAAGACCCCATTCACCTGCCAGAGAACCCAGGCATCCAGGCTCCCAGCCCCCACTCCCCCTTCTACTGCTTGAGTGAGCAGGGGAATCCAACAGAGTGGCACCTTGGCTCAACTCGCATGAGCCCCTGGGCAGGCATTCCCTTGCCAGCACAGTCCTTCCATGACTCACACACGTGTTCCATGGGCCTCAGTGGTCATCTTGGTTTCTGCTTCCATAAGCCCCTGGGGTGGCTGGTGCCTCATTCATGCCAATGCGCAGCCATCTTGCCTGCTGTTCCCATGATTCCCTGGGGCAGTTTCTGCCTCATGCCAGGGTGGGGAGGTGATCTTGGCTACTGTTCCCATGAGTGCCTTGGGTGCTTGGTGTCTCATGCCAATGGGCAGCCATCTTGGTTGCCTCACATAACCTCTGGGGCAGCTGGTGGCCCATGCAATGGGCCTCATGCCAATGGGCAGGCATCTTCACTGCAACCTGCTACCACTTCCGTTGGTCACCAAAGCATGGTCCGGGATGTGGGGGGGGAGTGGTCACCCACCCTTTCCCCAGCCACCCTCTCCTTTAAACCAATGAGAGAGCCAAGCCCTGAGGGAGCTGTGCTCCCATTGGCCAAGATGCCTGTCAGTCAAAGACATCTGCCTTCCACCACTGTCACTGAGGAAGTATCAACCAATCAGGAGGCAGCATTGGGGTTAGGGAAGGGGGAGGCAGCCAGCACCTGCCTCGACTGTGAGGTGCGAAGGAAGCGGGATCTACAATGAGGGAAGGCCTTACCCAATCAGCAGAAGCAGGAGGGGCTGATGCGCACAAGGAGGGAGGAGAGAAGGTGGAGGGTGGGGCGTTAGGGAGTTGTTCTACCAATTGGGGTGCAGCTAGTGAGAGCAGGGGCCGCCAATTCATGTGGGAGGCAGGCTCCACCAGCGCTGCTTGGCCAACAGAAACAGGAGTGGGGCGGGGCCTTGGGGACCCTCCACATGTCAGGGAGGGGCAGGCAACCGGCTCTGTCCCCCCAGGGGAAGGGGCTTGTAGCCTGGCCCCATCCTCCACCACTGCAGGTCCCTCCCTAATTTTGGGGTAGGGGAGGGGTTAACTCTTGCCCCCCTCCCCCTTTTTTGTGGGGTTGTCTCTTCCCCAAGCAGGGGTGGAGCTCAGGTGTCCAGGTCCTGGAGCCTGGGAGATATCATTCATGTGCACACCTCAAACGTGTCCCACATGCATGTGCCACACACTGGCTCCAGGCATGAAAAGATGGAAGGGGAGCTGCTAGCCATGGCCTCCTCCAATCTGGCATAAGAAAGAACCCCGGCATCTAGGCTCCCAGTTCCACCTGCTCCTGCCCTCCAGCCCCAACTCCCCACCCAGAGAACCCAGGCATCCCAGCTGCTCTGGCCCCACCCCATCTCTCCTGCATAACCCATGCATCCTGGTGTCAGGAAGCTGCCAGCTCCCGCGGGAAGGTCCTGGCCTGGCTGACGTCAATGAGGCCCCTAATGGGAACCAGATGCTGGGGAGGGGGGGCAGGGCCTGGCTTTGGTCTGACCCTGTGGCACCAGGCACAAGGCCAGGTGCCCGGGGCAGCCGCTGTCCTGCCACTTCCTGTCCCAAATGCCCGCACAAGTGTGCAGCAGCTGTGAGAGCTGGCTCCACCCCAAAGCCAGCCGCATCTTGGGGCCCCATCAGACCCAGACCTCAGTGTCCTGTCCCCCCCACTCCCATGAGCCAGCCACATCCCAGTGTCCCCATAGAACCAGGCTTAAAGGATTTCACCCCAGAGCCAGCCACATCCTGGGGTCCCTAGAGCTGACCTGAGCAGGGTGCGGGGCCTGGGTCAAATCTGCCCATGTGGGGCCCCATCTCCACCTCCACTCCAATCCCATGGGCTCTGGACCTGAAGAAACTGCAGCCAGTGGTGGCAGAGGGCGGGGTGGGGGGAGCAAGCAGCTGGGCATGGAGGCACTGCTCTGCCCAGCTCCACACCACTGCTGGTCTACCCTGCTCCACAGGGCCCCCAAAGCACAGGGCTCAGGGCAGTTGCCCCGATTCACTCCCCCTGGGACAGCCCTGGTCCCTGTTATACCCAGCACCCATCCCAGAGCCAGCTACATCCCCCAGTCTCTGTTATAACTATCCACTCCCATTTCCCATCCCACAGCCAGCTGCATCTCAGGCCTGCCCTACAAACAGCCTTCATGGGTTCTACCCAGAACCAACCATATCCTGGAGTCCCTGTTATACCCAGCTCCCAGGTTCCTCATTTCACCCATCCTGACACCCACCCCAGAGCCAGCTGCATCTCAGTATCCCCATAGACTATCCTTACTGTATCCCACCCCAGAGCCAGCCACATTCCAGGGTCTCTGTTATACCCTGTCCCAGCCCTACTTCAGACTCAGCTGTATTGTGGGGTGTCCATTATCCCTAGCCCTAATACCCCAGTCCAGAGCCAGCTGCATCTCAGCATCCCCCTAGAATCAGTCTTACTGTGGCCCACCCCAGAGCCAGCTGCATTCCAGGTTCCTTGTTATATCCTGTCCCAGCCCCACCCCAGAGCAGCTTGGGGTCCCCATTATATCTATCCACTTGAGCCCACCCCAGAGCCAGGGGTATCTCAGCACACCCAGACACAGACAGATATAGCACCCCCCTCCCCTGAACTGAACCTGCCAGAGCTACCGCATAACCTCCCCTCCAGGGGTGCCCCACAGTGGGGGGAGGAGTGAGGGACTGGTGGTGGGCCAGGCACTGGTACAGGAACCCAGATGTCAGATTGCTCTCTCTCCAGCTGGGGAAATTCCACTTGATCTCACTCAATATCCCCCTCCCCTCTACCTTGGCTTCCTGTCCTGGATTCCCAGCGTCTGCCTCTGTGGCACAGCTGGGTGCCAGCGGCCAGGCATGGACTTGCCCTCCCCAGAGCCAGCCACATACCAGGGCCTCATTACACCCAGTTGCCCTCAAGCATCACACCCCAGAGCCAGCTGCATCTTGGCACCCCCATAGTATCAGCTTTCATATGTCCCACCCCAGACCCAGCTGTATCCAAGGGTTCCCATTCTACCCAGCCCCTTCCCCACCCAAGAACCAGCCACAATGAAGCCCCTAACCCTTCTTGGGGGCCCTAGACTGGGCGTGTCCTCGAACTTCCTCCCCTGCACCCCCTTCCCCAGTGGCAGGCACTATATATACACACACAGTGCTGGGCCAGGGCTTAACAGGGCTGCCAAGGCCGTGGTTGAGTTGGCAGGGCCAGGCTCAACCTCAGCCAGGGCCTCTGGCCAGTCCGGTGCAGACTAGCCCATCCCAGCTCAGCTCAGTCACTGGGGCAGAGCAGCTGGCTGGGGATGGGGTTGGAGGGGCTGTGGGGCCACAGTGGGGGTGGGGGAACCTGAGCTGGGTAGTCTGGTTCTGGGGTGCCTTGGGGGCTGGGGATAACAGGCACCCTGGGATGTGGCTGAGTCAAGGTTGGGAGAGATGAAGGCTAGTGCTTTGAGGCTGTTGAGATGCAGCATGCTCTGGGGTGGGGCATTGGGACAGGGTATAACAGGGCCCCCAGGATGCGACTGGCTCTGGGGCATGCAGTAAGGCTGGTTCTGTGGGGCTGTTGAGATGCAGCTGGCTCTGGAGTGGAGCACTGGGGCTGGGTACAGGGACTCCCTTGCTCAGCAGCGCAAAGACGATGCTGAACCTGGAGTGGAATTTCAGAGCCAGACTTGGAGAGGAGTGGGGTTAGAATGAGGCAGGGCTGGGAGCCCGGATATCTCCACTCTCTGGAGGTCCCAGTGCCCCTCACTCCCGACCTGCAGCACCCCCACTCCACAGTGCCCCTCACTTTCGACCCCAGTAGGATAGGAGTCTGGGAGCCCGGACACCCGGGGGGCGGGGGGCGGTGACGCGATGGCGAAGGCATGTTCGCTGCAGCTGTGAAACCACCCGCCCGCGCCTGGGCCGGGGCTGGAGTGGGGGCCAGGCGGCCGA